GCTGCTGCTGCTGCTGCTGCTGCTGCTGCTGCTGCTGCTGCTGCTGCTGCTGCTGCTACTACTGCTACTGGTGCTACTTGAGCTGCAGCAAGATCAGCAACTCCGCTGCTGCTGCTGCTGCTTCAGCTGTCCCCTCAACTCTCGGCCGTCTGCGGCGGGCAGCGGCAGCTTTCTCTTTGCGCAGTGCTGCGCTGCATCTTCTCTTATTGCCTCTCAAGAGGTTTGCTGCTGTCGGGCCCCAGCAGCAGCAGCAGCAGCAGCAGCAGCAGCAGCAAGGCTGCGCCCGGCGAAATCCGACTCGCGACGGACGAACAGCTCAGGAAGGTAAGGCCCAGCAGCAACAGCAGCACTCATATCAGCAGCAGCAGCAGCAGCAACAACAGCAACAGCAGCAGCAGCAACAACAACAGCAACAGCAACAGCAGCAGGAGCAGCAGCAAATTGGCTGGGCAGCACTTCATGATCCAAACTGCTTCTGCGGATCGGATTTGTCTTTTAGCGACTAGATAAATAAATAAATAAATAAATAAATAAATAAATAAATAAATAAATAATAACAAATAAATGAAATAAATATCTGTAAATAAATAAATAATAAAGCGGTAAATAGGCAAAAGACGGACAGCAAGAGAAGCAAGAAATGGAGCAGCAAAGCAGCACAGCAGCAGCAGCAGCAGCAGCAGCAGCAGCAGCAGCAGCAGCAGCAGCAGCAGCAATTGCGTTTGCTGCTGCAGCTTTTCGGCCCCTCTGTGCGCTCTCTCTCTCTTGCCGATCTCCCGCTGCTGCTGCGGCAGCATTTGCTGCCGCCGCTGCCAGTTGTTATAAAGCACAACCTGAGGTCCGTCTGCTGCTGCTGCTGCTGCTGTTGCTGCTGCTGCTGCTGCTGCTGCTGCTGCTGCTGCTGCTGCTGGTTCTTGCATTTGTTATTTGTTATTACTGAATATTTTTATATTTTCATTAATTTCAATTTATTATTTTTTTGTTCTTCAACAGTTAACTGCTGTTTATTGATTTTCATTTATTGCTTCTTTCGCAAAGTTTGCTGCTGCTGTTATTTATTTTTATTTTAATTAATTTAATTTAATTATTTATATTTATTTATATTTATAATTATTTATATTTATATTTATTTTTTTAATTTAATTTTATTGATTAATTTAACTTTTGCTTCGAAGCTCTTGTTGCTCGGCCGTTCAGTCCCTGCTGCTGCTACTGCTGCTCTGCTGCTACTGCTGCTGCTGCTGCTGCTGCTGCTGCTAGTGCTGCTGCTGCTAACTCTGCTGCTGCTGCTGCTATTGCTGCTTCTGCTGCTGCTGCTGCAGGCTTTCGGGGGATTGGATTGAAAGCGAGCATGCATATGACTTTTCTTTGGATTGTATAGACACCACCTGCGGAAGCAGCAGCAGCAGCAGCAATAGCGCAGCAGCAGCAGCAGGAGCAGCAGCAAGTGCTTGCTGCGTCCTTGGCCTCGACAGCTGGCTCTCTGCATCGCAGCAGCAAAGCGTGTTTCTGCAGCAGCAGCAAAAGGTGCTAAAGCTGCTGTTGCTGCTGCTAATGGTCCTGCTGCTGCTGCTGCTGCGAATGGTCCTGCTGCTGCTGCTGCTAAAGCGCGATCCGCCAGCTTAGAGTTGCTTAAAGCGCGATCCGCCAGCTTAGAGTTGCTGCTGCTGCTGCTGCTGCTGCTTCGGCCTATTCTTTTGCTGCCCTGCCCTCAGCAGCTGCTGCTCGTTTGTTTTCTGCCGTTGTTGCTGCTGTTGCTGCTGCTGCTGCTATTTATTTATTTATTTATTTATTCATTTTATTATTTATTTATTTATTTATTTATTTATTTATTTATTTATTTATTTATTTATTTATTTGCTGCTGCAGTTCATCCAGCTGCAGCTGGAGTCCTGCCTCCCTGACCACCAGCGGCTCGTGGCGGACAGCAACTGTCTTTTCGAATATGAAGTTTCCCCCAAAAGGGCCAGCTTCTACAACAAGGTGCTGCTGCTGCTGCTGCTGCTGCTGCTGTTGCTGCTGCTGCTGCTGTTGCTGCTGCTGTTGCTGCTGCTGTTGCTGCGCTGCTGCTGCTGTTGCTGCTGCTGCTGCAGTTGCTCTCGTTGCGGCTCTTGCTGCTGCTGTTGCTTCTGCTGCTGCTGTTGCTCTCGTTGTGGCTCTTGCTGCTGCTGCTGCTCTTGCTGCTGCTGCTGTTCTTGCTGCTGCTGCTGCTGCTCTTGCTGCTGCTGCTGAGGACGGTGGCGGTGGCGTTGCTGGTGCCGCTGTTGCTGATGGCTGTGTCGACGCTTCTTTCGCACTTTCTGCTGCTGCTGCTGCTGCTGCTGCACTTCTCCGTTGCTGCGACTGGTCTTTCCGCGGTTTCGTTTGCTGCTGCTGCTGCTGCTACTGCTGCTGCTCCTTCCCGAAGCGGCGACCTGACTATTTGTCTATTTCCTGCTGCCGATTCTTGCTGACTGATGGAGCGCTTGTCGCAATTTGCTGCTGCTGCTGCTGCTGCTGCTGCTGCTGCTGCTGCAGCCGTGGCTGCCGCGGGCAGTTGGGCGATACCTGCAGCGGAAGGCTCTTCCCCTCGACGACCAAATATGGTTCGTGTCGCTGCTGTTGCTGCTGCTGCTGCTGCTGCTGCTGTTGCTGCTGCTGCTGCTGCTCTGCTGCTGCTGCTGTTGCTGCTGCTGCTGCTGCTGCTGCTGCTGCTGCTGCTGCTGCTGCAGGGCGTTGATGAGGCGCTTCAGGGCTCCAGCTCGCGTCCCCGCTATCGCCCGCCGTCTGTTGGGGGTCCTGCTGCTGCTGCTGCTGCTGCTGCGCCGATGTCAGCGCAGCAGCAGCAGCAGCAGCAGGCAGCAGCAAGCCGCAGGCAGAAAGCTGCAGCAAGAAAGAGAGAAGACGCGAAACCCGACCACCACCATCACCTGCAGCAGCAGCAGCAGCAGCAGCAGCAGCAGCAGCAGCAGCACATGCAGGGACTTGGCATTCACGGCGGAGGCGAGGCGCCTCCTCCGCACTTAGGGAATAAAGCGGCCACTCACTTGAGCCTGTAATTGGCTAGCCAGCTAGCTAGCTAGCTAGCTAGCTAGCTAGTCAGCTAGCTGGTCAGCTAGCTAGTCAGCTAGCTAGTCAGCTAGCTAGTCAGTTAGCTAGCTGTGGTTGGCCGGCCTCGCAGTAAGCTGCTTCAGCCTGGCCAGCCACTTGGTTCCCGAGGCTTGCTGGCTAGCTAGCTAGCTAGCTAGCTAGCTAGCTAGCTCAGGCCAGCTAGCTAGCTAGCTAGCTAGCTATCTGAGGCCAGCTAGTGTTTTGGCTCAGCTAGCTGGCTAGCCAGCTGGCTAGCTAACTGGCTGTGAGGGTCGCTACAGCTAATCTGCAGCTAGCTGCAGCAGCTAGCTAGCTGGCGCGTCGCAGCTAGCTAGCTGTGAAGAGACTTGTGGCTGGCCAGCAGCTAGCCACTAAGAAGACCGCAGCTAGCTGCTGCTGCCAATGGCTCAGGGCTCATAGCAAGAAGCTCAGCTAGCATGGAGACCCTAGCTAGCTGGGCAGCGACTGCCGCCAGCAGCAGCTAGCTGCTGCAGCTAGACTAGCTGCTGCAGCTAGCTGCTGCAGCTAGCTGCTGCAGCTAGCTGCGACTGGCCGTAGGTGGCCTTAGCCAACTGTAGCTAGCTGTAGCTAGCTGTAGCTAGCTGCTAAGCATGCACAGGCTGCAGCAAGCTAGCTAGGGTCTGTGGATAGTGTTTAGGGTGTAGGCTTTGTGGCCTCCCTGGCAGCAGCAGCAGCAGCAGCGACAGCAGCAGCAGCGAAAGCAGCAGCAGCAACAGCGACAGCAGCAGCAGCAACAGCAGCAGAAAGCAGGAACGGCAGCACCTGCGTCAGCGCCATTTCCCGCTAGCAAAAAAAAATTAAAAATGCCAGTTTTTTCGCCAGACATCCCTCAAAGCTGCTGCTGCTGCTGTTGCTGCTGCTGCTGCTGCTGCTGCTGCTGCTGCGAAGTGCTGCGGCTATTGCCGGCCTGCTGCATGCGCTTTTCAAGGCCACTTAGAAACTTCTCTGAAGTTTGGCAGCAGCAGCAAGCAGCTCAGCAGCAGCAGCTGCAGCAAACAGAAGCCAACCACCCACGGGCCTACAGTTTGTGCTGCTGCTGCTGCTGCAGCAACAGCAGCAACAGCAGAAGCAGGGAGCTCTCCGCCCCACCCATGGCCGTAGGAATAAGAGGCTGCAGCAGCCGCAGCAGCAACTGCAGCAGAAGCAACAGCAGCAGCTGCTGCTGCTGTATGTTTCATTTGCTGCTGCCTACCGCCTGCGGGCGGCAGGTCCCAAGAAAGCTTGTTCTTGCTTCTTCTTCTGCTGCTGCTGCTGCTGCTGCTGCTGCTGCGAAGTGCTGCTTTCGTGGCAGCTGCACGAGGCGAGCGCAGAGCTGCAGCAGGAGTCGCAGCAGCAGCAGCAGCAGCAGCAGCGGGGGGCTCCGGCTCCGCCACTGCAGCCGTTGCTGCTGGTGTGCTTGCTGGCGTTGCTGCTGCTGCTGCTGCTGCTGCTGCTGCTGCTGCTGCAGACGCTTCAGGAATGGGGCCTACAGAATTTGACTTGTATCCAGGCGTTTGCTGGCCTTCGTTTTGCTGCTGCTCCTTGGGCTGCTGCTGTTGCTGCTGCTTATCCGGCTGCTGCGGCTGCGGCTCGTCTTGCTGCTGCTGTTGCTGCTGCTGCTGCTGCTTATGGTCCTGTCTTTGCTGCTGTGGCCCATGATGTTTTTCCGCCTTCGCCTCGTCCTTTCGACGATGCTGCTGCGCTTGCTGCGGCTGCTGCTGCTGCTGCGCTTGCTGCGGCTGCTGCTGCTGCTGCTGCGGCGGCTGCGGCTGCTGCTGCTGCTGCTGCGGCGGCTGAGGCTGCTGCTGCTGCTGCTGCTGCTGCTCAACAGGGGCACCCTTCTCCACTGGCTCTGAGTGTGAAAGTGCTTGCTGCTGATCTTTCTGCTCTTGCTCCTTTTGCTGCTGCTGCTGCTTCTGCTGCTGACTTTGCTGCTGTTGCTGCTGCCGTTGCTGATTCTGCTGCTGCTGCTGCGGCTGCTTTTGCTGCTGCTGCGGCTGCTTTTGCTGCTGCTGCCGTTGCTGCTGCTTTGGTTCTTCTGGCTTAGAAGCAAACATCCTCTTGTAGGTATCAGCAGAAGTCTTTCGGTAACTTTCCTTCTGCAGCGAAAACCCTAAACCCTAAACCCTAAACCCTAAACCCTAGGCTGGAAGCTCCACAGTTTTCAACAACGCAACAAAGATACGAAGGTGCAGCAACAGCAGCAGGAGCAGCAGCATTAGCTGTTGAAACGTTAGCAGCTGCAGCAGGAGCAGCAGCAACAAAACCCTAAACCCTAAACCCTAAACCCTAGGCTGGAAGCTCCACAGTTTTCAACAACGCAACAAAGATACGAAGGTGCAGCAACAGCAGCAGGAGCAGCAGCATTAGCTGTTGAAACGTTAGGAGCTGCAGCAAAAGCAGTGAAAAAGAGCAGCAGCGGCAGCAACAGCAGCAGCAGCAGTAACAGCAGCAGCAGCAGCAGCAGCAGCAGCAGCAACAGACCTGCTGCGCCTCCTGGAGGTGGTCTTCCATCATTTGGGCCATTCCTCTTCTGTAAAAGGCTTTGCAGTTCTTCGGGTCTATTTGCAACGCCTGCGGGGCACCCAAACCCTAAACCCTAAACCCTAAACCCTAAACCCTAAACCCTACCGCCTTGACGCCTGCGTTGCGTGAGGCATCGGGCTGCACAGCAGCAGCAGCAGCAGCAGCAAGACTCCCCACAGCAGCAGCAAGCAGCACAGGCACCCCGCAGCAGCAGCAGAGCAGCACAGCCGGAGCAGCAGCGGCCACACAGCAGCAGCAGCACAGCAGCAGCCGCAGCAGCACAGCAGCAGCCGCAGAGCAACAGCAGCAGCCGCAGCAGCACAGCAGCAGCCGCAGCAGCACAGCAGCAGCCGCAGAGCAACAGCAGCAGCCGCAGCAGCACAGCAGCAGCCGCAGAGCACCAGCAGCAGCGGCCCAGCAACAACCACAGAGCAGCAGCAGCGCAGCAGCAGCAGCAGCAGCAGCAGCAGCAGCGCGTCGAACCAGCCTGCACTGTATGTACACCTCCTCGAAGTCCCGCTGCTGCAGCTTGCATGCAGCCAAGTTCAAATGGGCCGGCAGCTTCGCCTGGCTGAAGAGAACTTCTTCTTCTGCTGTTGAAGGAAAAGTGTAGTCCAGCTGCAGCAGCGCCTGCGCAGCAGCAGCAGCAGCAGCAGCAGCAGCAGCAGCAGCAGCAGCGGCGGCGGCCGCAGGGTGGGGGCTCGCGGCGGGGGAGTTGGAGCGAGAAATTCAGGTGTGCAGCAGCAGCAGCAGCAGCAGCAGCTGCTGCTGCTGCTGCTTCTGCTGCTGTTGCTGCTTCTGCTGCTATTCGGCAGATGAAGAGCCCAGGGGGCCACTCAGGCACGGTGCGTCGGCGTGCAGCAGCAGCAGCAGCAGCAGCAGCAGCAGCAGGGGCGTTACCTGCAGCAGCAGAACGAAGGCAGCAGCTGCAGCAGCGCGAAGCGGCCAAAGCAGCCCTCTACCTTATCAACTGAAGAATTAATTACTTTAAATTAATTTAATTAATTAATTTAATTAATTAATTTAATTAATTAATTAATTTAAATCATTTAATTAATTCAAAGTAATTAATTTAAATTAATTAATTTAAATCACCTTCCGGTAGCAAACTGCTGCCAGCCCGAAGTTGCGGTCTTTGTAGGCCGCGTTGCCTTCGCACCGAAACCTACGCCAAACACAAACCCTAAACCCTAAACCCTAAACCCTAAACCCTAAACCCTAAACCCTAAACCCTAAACCCTAGTGCTAAACCCCAAACCCTAAGTTCTTTGTCCGCACCTTTCTGCGGCTTCAATTTTCTCCAGGGTTGGCCGCTCGTACAGCTGCCTTTCCTGCAAAGTTAACCGAGAGCCAAAACCCTAAACCCTAAACCCTAAACCCTAAACCCTAAACCCTAAACCCTAAACCCTAAACCCTAAATACTAAACCCTAAACCCTAGAGCCCTACGTCTCAAGCCTTCGCTGCTGCAGCCGCTGCAGCAGCTACCGAGCGGGCCTGGGGCCTCGCCGCAGTCCGCGTCTGCCCTTAGTCGCTAGGGTTTAGGGTTTAGGGTTTAGGGTTTAGGGTTTGGCGGATACTTTTGAATGGTCGTGGCCGCAGCCTGCTGCCAAAGCCCTTGCTGCTTCTGCTTCTCTCCTGCGGCTCTCCTCTTCTGCTGCTTCTTCTGCTTTTAGCTGCTCGCTCAGCCGGCTGAACTTGCCTGAGCAGCAGCAGCAGCAGCAAGTGCAGCAGCAGCAAGTGCAGCAGCAGCAGCAGCAAGAGCAGCAGCAGCAGCAGCAAGTGTGACAGTAGCACGAGCAGCAAATGCAGCAGCAGCGCCATGCAGCTGCAGCATTGGATGCAGCAGCACCACCACGGGAAGCAGCAGCAGCAAACGCAGCAGCAGACAATGCAGCGGCGGCAACTGCAGCAGCAGCAGCAGCAGAAAGTACAGCAGCAGCAGCAGCAGCCGCGGCAGCAGCAGCAGCAGCAGCAGTTCGACTGAAGCAACAAGTTCAGCAAAATGACAGTGGCAAGTGCAGCAGCACATGAAGCAGCCGGTGCAGCAGCAACTGCAGCAGCACATGCAGCAGCAAATGCTGCAACAGCTAGCTAGCTAGCCAACTAGCTAGCTAGCCAGCTAGCCAGCCAGCTAGCTAGCTAGCTAGCTAGCCAGGTGGGTCCTCTCTTAATCAAAAGAAGAGCCCAAAGAGCTACTTCTTCTTCAACACTGCTGCGAACACAATAGTGAGGGTTTAGGGTTTAGGGTTTAGGGTTTAGGGTTTAGGGTTTGGGCGCACCATAGTCGGCGGTGCCGATGACTTCCTTGGGGTCGGAGACCGCGCGATTCTGGCGGACAAAAGAAAAACCCTAAGCCCTAAACCCTAAACCCTAAACCCTAAACCCTAAACCCTAAACCCTAAACCCTAAACCCTCAGCCGTAATCCTCCAATTCCCGCCTTTGAAGCGAGTTGTGCTATCTCCTGTTCTTCGCAGCTGTTTCCCCTCAAACCGCAAACCCCAAACCCTAAACCCTAAACCCTAACCCCCAAACCCTAAACCCGCAGCTTCAGCGCCTAAACCCTAAACCCTAAACCCTCGCCGGCGGCGCTAGCTGCTCCGACCTGCTGGGTGGCAGCTCTTTCTCTTTTTCTTTCTTCTTCATTTCTTTTTTCTTTTTCTTTTTTTTCAAATTCCAAAATGTCGAGGGCGAAGCGAAAAGCCTCGGGAGAAGTTGCGGGCAAATCCATTTGCTGCTCTCGACTTCGGGGGGCCCCCAGGGGGCCCCCCCCCCCCCTTTGAGGAAAGAAACAAGTGCTGCTCATTCAGCTTTGCTGCTGCTGCTGCTGCTGCTGCTGCTGCTGCTGCTGCTGGGGTGTACGTACACCTCGAGGTGCATGCGCTCGAGCAGCAGCGCGGAAAGACACCCGGCGCCGACAGCAGCAAATCGGGCGCTTGAGGGGAGGGTTTGGGGTTTGGCAGGCTCAGCTCTGGGCCAAGATGCAGGCCCGAGGTCGAGGGTTTAGGGTTTAGGGTTTAGGGTTTGGGCGCGAAGGGTTTAGGGGCTAGGGTTTGCTGCAGCACGAGTTATCTGCTGCCCGCTCACAGGCAGTGGGGGCCCCTGGGCTTCCGTGGCTGCAGCAGCCCGCTGCTGCGCCCCCTGCAGCCTAAAGTCCCAAACAATTCAATTAATTCAATAAATTGCATTTATTTTAATTAAATTAACTCATTTTAGTCGAAAATTAATTCAAATTAACCCCATTTAGCGGCCCCACCGCCGCGCGGCAGACGCGGCCAGCGGCGGCGACCGCAGCTGCAGCGACGCTGCAGACGCAGCGCCACAGCAGCAATTCAACTCCCCCGCGCATTTAATTTTATTATTTTAATTATTTATTATTTATTTAATTCAATAAAACTCATTTAAAACATTTAATTCCATTTCGGGCGCCCAGGCCGCCGCAATTTGCTGCTGTCCGCTGCGCCAGACAGCAGCAGACACACACCGGGGGCTGCGGGCTCAGCCCCGGGGTTCGAGGGTTTAGGGTTTTGCTGCGAGGGTTTAGGGTTTTGGCGAGGGTTTAGGGTTTGCGTCGAGGGTTTAGAGCGCGCCGGCTGAGGCTTCGGGGCCTGCAGCAGGGCTTTCGAGGGTTTAGGGTTTGCGCCCGGGGCTTCCGGGGGTTTGCTTCGAGGGTTTAGGGTTTGCGCCCAGGGCTTGAAAGCCGAGAAGGGTTTAGGGTTTGTGAGACACTGGCAAACCCCCGCTAGTCCCCTCTAGGGTTTAGGGTTTGGCCTGCGGCTACCCGTGGCTAGCCCCAGCTAGCTAGCTGCAGCTAGCTGCAGCGAGTTGCTAGCTGCTACTGGCTGCAGCTAGCTGCTACCCGCTGCAGCTAGCCACAACTGCAGCTAGCTGCAGCTGCAGCTAGCTGCAGCTAGCTGCAGCTGGCTGCAGCTGTGGCTAGCTGCAGCTGTGACGGGGCTACCTGCAGCTAGCTGCAGCTAGCTGCAGCTAGCTGTGGCTAGCGGTAGCTGGTTTCAGCTAGCTATGGCTGGCTGTAGGTAGCTGTGGCTAGCTGTAGCTAGCTGTAGCTAGCTGTAGCTAGCTGTAGCTAACTGTAGCTAGCCACAAGTTTGTGAGTCTTTGCTGCTTTCGTTAGTGTGAAGGTGGCGCGGTGTACGTACACCCCAGTTCGGTTCCGCACGAAATAAAATTTGGAAAAGCGCAAAAGTGAAAAGCAGCAGCAGCATAACCCGCAAAAGGACAAGAAGTTGGGCAAAAGAAAAACTAATTGAAGCCGAAAGGAGGCGCGAAGTCCAGGGCTCAGCGGGGGCGCTGAGGTGTACGTACACCTCAGCGCCGCGCAGCTCTTCAGTTGTTCGTTTCTTCTTCTTCACAACTAAAACTTCTTTTGTTTTTTTTGATGTTTTTAATCAAAGCCAGCAGCTTCGTTTGCGCTGCAAACAGCCGCCGAGTGATGGGCCCCAGCAGCAAGTTGAAATCGCCGTACAGCTCCTTGGCAAATTCAGGCCGCGGCTTCCGCACTTCCTGCTGCTGCTGCTGCTGCTGCTGCTGCTGCTGCTGCTGCTGCTCTGCCTCCTGCTGCTGCGCCTGCTGCGCTCCCTGCGGCTGCTGCGACTGCTGCTCTGGCTGCTGTTCCTGCTGCTGCTGCTCGCTCCGCTGCTCCTGCTGCTGCTCTTGCTGCTGCTCTTGCTGCTGCTGCTGCTGCTGGCGCTTGGCTGCGTCTGCGTCTGCCTTGTCTGCTGTGACGAGGCACAGGGCTCGGCTGTCTGCGGACTGCTGCGCAACGTCGCAGCGAACAGCGTTGAGGACTTTGGCAGCTTCGGCCTTCACTTCTGCGGGCAGGCAGGGGTCTGCTGCTGCTGCTTCTGCTGCTGCTGCTGCTGCAGACCCGATTGCTGCTGCCGCGTCGTCCACAGCGCTCAGCGCGCCCTCGATGGCGGAGCGGTCAGGCGCTGCACAGCAGCAGCAGCAACAGCAGCAGAAATAGCAGCAGCAGCAGCAGCAGCAGCAGCACGAACAGCAGCAGCACAACGCACAAGCAACCCAAAATGACTATACCAACAAAGAATCTGCGTCTAGAACAAAAGCGTGCGCTGTGTAAGTGGCGGGCTGGCGCCTTTGCTGCTGCAGTTTCTGCTGCTGCTGCTCCCGGGAGCGGGCTAGCCGGGCTGCTGCTGCTGCTGCTGCTGCGGCTGCTGCTGCTGCGGCAGCAGTTACCTGCGGTGCTGTAGATGTAGGCCTTCATGGGCACGGCCAAGTTGGAGAGCTGCTTCTTCATGGCCCCAATCTGCTCCCGCAGCGACAGCACGAGCTCGCAGGCGGGGCCGAAGCCCTCGCAGGGCGGCTGCGGCTGCTGCTCGGCCAGCTCTTGCCAAGGGGGGCAGCTGGGGCCCCCCATGGACTCGGGGACTCGAGAGCCCCCCAGGGGCACGGGCTGGCGGTCTATGGAGTTCATGGGGGCGCGGATCGGGGGTGTTCAGGTTTGGTGCGGCGGCGCGTCGGGGGCCGCGGAGCGGAAACCGGGCGGAAAAGCGGGAACTCGGGAAGACTGCGACACGCAATTGCGGTTTATTTCATATTTCATTCAAATTTCCCCCGGAAATTGCGCAGAAAGCCCGCGCGCGCCGCCAGAAACCGGCCGTTCAACTTCCCGCAGACGCTCAGATCTCAGGGGTGTCTGCGCAAAGTCGCACGGGGGCCTCCCTCCTCTGGCGAGCCGGAGACCGCCGTCGGCATTTCGGAAGATCCGCTAAAAAGATTCAAATTCGAATTTATTTCCTAAAAGCGCCTGCTGCCCGGCCGCCGCTGCGCCCGTTCGCCGCTTCCTCCCCGAGCCTCCCTGTGCGCTGAGCTCGGTCGGCTGCGACGGCCTGGGTGCTATTTAAGCAGGTTTTATCGCAGAGTTGGGTTAAATATTCAAAGATTGCGCGTCGACTTGGCGGCGGAGGGCCCTTCTGCCGCCGGATCGGCTCGCCGCTGCTGCTTCCGGTGCTTGTGCTTGTGCGGAGTTCGGGCAGGCGATCCGCAGGGTTCCGTTGGCTCTGCCGCGTTAAAACTCGCAGCATGGATCCAGGGGCCCCTGAACGTTCTGCAGAGGGCCTCAGAGCCGGGTATGGCGGGGTGGGGGCCCCCCGGGAAAAGGCGGAGGCTGCGGTGCGGCTGCTGCCCTCCTGGGGGCCCCCCGACACCTCGGCGGCGGGGCTGCTGGCGCCCCCCAAAGACGAGGAGCTGCAGCGGCTGATAGAAGAGGCCCTGGAAGGCGCAGTGCCCGAGGAGGTCTCGCTGGACCCGCAGTGGCCGCCGCTGGCCGTCAAGTCGCACGCGAAGTACCTCTTGGGGCTGGGCGCGGACCCCTTCACCATGGAGGCCTTCTTCGGAGTTTCCACGAAGATGGGCGGCGCCTACTGGGCCACGAACGCCCTCTGGCTGCTCGGCCTCCAGAGCCGCAAGAACCAGCGCCTCCTCCAGCAGGCCGCAGCCGCAGCAGCCAGCAGCAGCAGCAGCAGCAGCAGCAGCAGCAGCGGGGGCTCCCTTGCCGCGGCGGAAGCGCGCCCGCCCTCTCCCTCCTCCCCCTCCCCCCCCAGCAGCAGCAGCAGCAGCAGCAGCAGCAGCAGCAGCACGGCGCTGGACCGTCTGCTGGAGTCTCGTGAGGACGCGTTGTGCGAGTTCGTGCTGCGTTGCCAGCAGCCGTGCGGAGGCTTCGGCGCGGACGTGGGCCAGGAGGCGCAGCTGGGGGCGACGCACTACGCGCTGCTGCTGCTGGCGGGGCTGGGGCGGCTGCAGCTGCTGCCGAGCGCAGCAAAGACAGCAGCGTGGGTGCAGCAGCAGCAGCAGCCGGGCGGCGGCTTCGCGAACGGCCCCGGCGGCGAGGCCGACTGCCGCTTCTCCTTCTGCGGGCTCGCCAGTCTGCTGCTGCTGCGCGCGCTGCCCGCAGCCACCCGCAGCAGCGAGCGGCGCTTCCTGCTGCAGCTGCTGAACGAAGACGGCGGCTGCGCCTGGGTGCCCGGCGGCGAGTCGCATGCAGCAGCAGCTTTCTGCTGCCTGGGGGCCCTCGAGCTCTGCGGGGCCCTCTGGGCCGTGGACCGCAGCAAGGCCGCGCGCTGGCTGCTGGCCCGCCAGACCCCCGCGGGCGGCTTCAACGGCCGCCCCGAGAAGGCCCCCGACGTCTGCTACTCCTTCTGGATCTTCGCTGCGCTGCTGCTGCTCGGCCGCGCTGCTGCAGCAGACGCCCCCGGCCTCGCCCGCTTCGTCCTCGCCGCCCAAGACGGCAGCGGCGGCTTCGCAGATCGCCCCGGAGACCTCCCCGACGCCTTCCACACTTTCTTCGCCCTCGCCGCCCTCGGCCTCCTCCGCCCCGGCCGCCTCCAACCCCTCCACCCCGTCGCCGCCCTCCCCGCCCCCCTCGCCAGCCTCCTCCAACTCGACGCGCGCTCTCTCCCCTACCTGCGCTTCTCCTGAACAGTGCTGCTGCTGCTGCTGCGGCTGCTGCTGCTGCTGCTGCTGCGGAGCAGCAGCAGCAGCAGCAGCAGCAGCAGTAGTAGCAGCAGAGTTGCAGCTGTGCGAAGTAGTCGCCCGGGCGCCGGTGCGACTGGCAGCAGCTTTTGGCTTCTGCTGCTGCTGCTGCAGCGCAGCAGGAGCAGCCAGGTTGGAATGCGTCTGCGGGGGAGGAGGGGAGGACTTCCTTGCGGGTTTTGGGAGCGTTTGCAACAACTCTTTCCATGCTGCTGCTGCTGCTGTTTGTCGAACAGCAGCCTTTTCCTCCCTGCGAATAGTGTTCACTTTCCAAGCCGGGCCTCCGGCCCGCAGGTTGTCAAAGGCCGGCAGAGCGCGCGGGCTCGGAACGCCGGCCCAGCCGCCGCCCGCGCCGCCTTGAGTTTGAACTTGTGCTTCTTTGCTGCAGCGCCGAAAGCTCCTTTCGGCAGCAGTGCAGTGCAGTGCAGTGCAGTGCAGTGCAGTGTTGTGCAGGGTTGTGCAGTGTTGTGCAGTGTTGAACTGTGTCGCTGGAGGCGCAGCAGCAGCAGCGCGCTGCTGCTGCTGCTGCTGCTGCTGCTTCCTCCGCCGTTCTTTCGCGCCTTTTTGTGTCTTCCTCTGCAACTCATTTCGTGACCAGTGGAAGAGTTTCGCTCCTCTGCGGCTTCCCCGCGCCGGGCGACGAAGCCGACTCCGCGTCGCCCGCTGCTGCGCAGAAGACAGCAGCACACAGCAGCAAACGCAGCCTCCCAAAAACAGCGAAACGCCCCAAAGAGGCAGCAGCAGCAAGAATGAGCTAAGATCACAGAGACCTGCGAACGGCCGCGCAGGCGCACGCACCTGCAAGGGCCGAGCCGTGACGGCTGTCCGACTTGTAGGTGAGGTGGAGCACCCCGTATGCCACAATTGTCAGCAGCCAGGGCCCCACAGTCATGCACAACATCGCCAAAGATATCGCGCGGGCGTTTCCCACGCGAACAGACTCCGCCGGAGCTGCTGCCAGCAGCCCGTCGTGGGGCGGCCTGACGTAGCCAAACACGTTTTCGCACAAATAGCCAACAATGGGCGCGCCCAAAGCAGCGGCTCCGACGCCCTCGAGGCAGGAAACCTGAAAAGCAGCAGCAGGAAATTCGACTCCACGCAGTTCCCGCGCTGCTCCGCTCACTGACACGAAGAGCGACTGCCAAAAACCGGAAAGCGCAACAGCTTCTGCAACGGAGTCAGCGGTGCACTCACCAGAGCGAAAGTCGTGGCGCGGTGCTCCGGATAAACGATTTCCGTGAGAATGGGACGGTTGACCCCCACTCCGGGCCAGCCGGCCAAGAAGCCCATCAAGACGGCCAGGATTACAAATGTGCCCAGCGAGCTCGCCTCTCTCGGCACACACGTCAACATAATAGTCATCAGGAGGCAACGCGCCACTATGCAGATCTGCGCCAAACACTGCCGCCCGTGGTAAGGGTATCGAGAATGTATGAAGTCGCCCGTGCACCCAATCACCGGCGCAACCACCATTGCGGCGATCCAGCTGGAAGACACGATGAAGGAGGCCCACCAATCTGGAATGCTGCAGTACTGGAAATACATCGTCGAAAAATGAATTGCAGAGCGAGGGATTCCATTCAGAATCCCCTGAACGCAGCAACCACACGTCGCATTCTTGCAGCCGAATTCGAAAAATATGAATCGAGGATTATTCAAGTGGAACGCATTGCAAGTTGTCTAGCTGTTCAGCTCACCATAAGCAACATAACCCATACGCTTCCATTCCGAAACACATAGGCCGTTTCACTGAGAGGAAACCAGTGACCCTTTTCTTTCTGCCGTCTGCGCTGGTGTGGACAATCTGTGATCCGGCACCCAAGTAAGATTCCAGTTAATATGGATATCATCCCGAAACCAACCATAGCGTGCCTCCATCCTTCAATTCCCCACATTACTAGTCCAGATGCAGATGTCGTGATGGTAAGAGACAGAACTCTGCCGAAAGATTGAAAAAAATGCAAGATGCCGAAACTTCGGCCGCGATCGTTCTCGGGGACCTCCTGCGCAATCACTTTCTGTGACAGGGGGCCCATGGCTGCCATAAAGACGCCGAGAACGCACATTAGGGGCAATACTTGCCATTTCTGGGTGATGTAGAGGAGGGCGCTCGTCGCTGCGCCCCAACCGAGGGCTGAAGAAGAAAATATGCGTCTGCGACCGCAGCAATCGATGATGAAACCCCAAATGGGGCAGGTTAAGACGTGAGATATGCGGGTGGCAGAAGATAGAGCACCGAGGGACTGGGGAGAAAATCCCATGTCCCTCTCAAGGGCTTTGAAACAGGCGGGAAGGAGCTGGTCGATAGCGCCATGTACGCCACCGTACAAGTAGGTTAACCGAACGATCCTCTCAGAAGTTGGATCTAGCTTTTGTCCACATAAATGGGACTTGAAGTTGTAGCTGGCATTCTCGTTTCTGTCCTTATTTTCATCGGAAGTCTGTGAGCGCCGCCGATCGTCGGTGGTCTGTCGGCTGGCGGGATCTTGTCTAGGCGAACTGACACTATCCATTTTTTCATGAGTGCCTTCACGAAAGAATTGAATTTGTTTATTCTAGGTGAGTGACAGTATCTTTTGAGATCACCGACAATGTGAATGAATTCACGAGGCCCCAGGCTGAGGAAGCCGCAGCTTCATGGTCCAGCCGGGGTCAGTTTCGAACGTAGTCACACTACTGAAACTAGGTTGCAAATCGTCAGCGTTCTTTAGTAAAATCAAAAATAACCGTAGAAATGAAAGGGGGTGTAAAAAGTGCCAAGTGCAAAGTGCCGCCGCCGATTCGTGGTGTATTGACACAAGGCCTGGTCACACCGTGGCCTCGGGCGCCGCATGCCTACCAGAGTTGTTCGTGTACACGAAGTGATTGCCAAACGATTCTGGAAAATGAAGCGCTATACCTCGTGTCTCGTCTTCGCCGCCTGGCTGTGCGTCAGCGCAAAAGCCGAAGAAGATACCTATGTTCCTCCCGTGCCGTTGCACGAGGCTGTGACAACGAGGACCACTGCCACGGACATCAACGACGCTTCACTTACGGGGGAACAAGTAAGAGTCAGATACGATTAAGTGGATGTCTGTATTTCGAATCAAACGCCTCCTTTCAGGAAAAGCCTGCAGCGGAAGTTGGTACGAAACCGATTGCGAATGACGATCCACAGCCTTCGTATTGCATTTCGACCCTATAGCTGACAGCCTTCGCCAAGGAGCACCAGCTCCTGCGGAAACTGGAGATGGCAGCACTTTGACGAAGTCTGACGTAAGGATATGCCCAACAACAAAGCGAACTCAATGGGTGCAAACTTACTCGGAAACCTCAGACTAACGCCAGTCCTCCCCAGAGCGACGCCTCCAAGATGAGCGAGATCACAGGAGGCCCGGACGCATCGGTAAATTCAGCCGAAGCTCTTCCTTAGATTCAAGGTTCTCATTCTGACATTTTGCACCAGGAGGTGTCTGCGAGTGAAACAGCTTCGGTAAGAAAGAACTCTTCGCAAAAGTTGGCCAGCAACCTGTGATCATCCATTCATCAACCAACAGAATGCGGCCCCAGTCGCTGCAGAGATGGGCGAAACCGCCAATGAGCCCGCGCCAGCCGAAATGATGCAGTCCAAGAAGAGCCTCGTGACGGACCCAATAGCTGAGATGATGGGTGGCGAGTTCAACACCGAAGTAAGGAATGATCAAGAACGCAACTGATGTGCCAAATGCTCATATTGTTTATTCAGGTCAATCAGAGGATGGCCGATAGCTTCCTCAGCGTTCGCTCACGCGTTCTGCGCCTTAAGGCCAATCGTGATATGTAATTGATCGCCGCCGGAATTTTCCAACACGTTGTTCCTCCAAATGCCTGTCTTCGCTTTTTAATTTCGATCCACACAGACACCAATAAGCCATTGGAGTTGGAGTGGAAACATGTAGAGGGCTAATTGATTAGTGGTCAAATCAGTCCGCACGTAGTTTTTGTCGTCTTCAGCGCTTTTGTGTATCTTTCGACCATAGCAGTAGCGCAGTTGTCAACACACGCAACTTAACTGTAGATATCACTTCAATCGCCTCGCTCACCTATCAGATCGCACGAGAGCCTGAATGCAGCTGCCGAGACCACTGCTCGGCTGCTGCGGATTCCGTGCAGAAAACGTTTTCCATTCATTTTTGAAAAGATTCTTGTTGACACGCTGTCGTTTTGCAACGAATGAACTCTCCGTACTTTCCTCGAAGCATGTGCTCTCCCTAGCCCGCTATACGCATACACTTGCAAAGTTTGGCTTCTTATAGCGCACACATAATTTAGTTTGGAAAACTTCCATGTGTGGGCTCATTATTCATCTCCACTTAGTAACAATCGATCAATTGCAGATTCGCTTCCCATCGCCGCTGTCGTGTGGACTTGAAATCTGTAGGTGCAACTTGCTCACAGATTCGTGTTTTAGCTTTTGAAACAAAAAGTCCAGAAATAATGAAATGTGTACAAACTAAAGCAGCACACAACGTCCATGATATCCCGAGCCAGCCTTTCCATGCATCTTTGAGATCTAACGGACCATGAGCTGTCACAGAGATAGGACTTTAATTAAGGCTTCCTCGTGTGAGTACGTGAGCCGTTTAGTGTCGTATGACGAAAATTTCTTCCATAGAAACTACTTTGACATAGTTCCGCGTTGTCATGATGCCGAAGTCCCAACACAAAGTACAGACACAAAGCCCCGTACTGTGTTTCAGCCTTAGTCCCCATTTCACCAAGCTGCGCCCATTCTCTAATGACCAAATAGAAGAAAAAGAAATGTCAGGAAATGCTACAAATAGTTAATTTGAGTCATGAATTTAAGGATCAGACCCTTTAGTTGGGTCCCGGAGCTGCGCGTTTTGGCGCCTCAGCTACCCGCGTGGGACATTGCAAGCCAACCTAAGGACATGCGAGTCCCATAATCACTGAAGGCTTTCTGGCAAGGAGGTTGAATCCACAGTATCAGCTGAGACTTCAGCTTCTCTATCAGTCGGCGACTGAGGGAGGGCTGCGTCGCCTGCGACTTAGAAAACGCGGAGCAGCCAGGCGTCCCGGGCTGCCGATCAAAGAATGCCCAGGCGAAGAGTTACACCGGCTGCCGAAGAAGTGCAGCATGGTCCCCTTGACCATGATGACCAGGGGAGCGCCGAGCAGATCAACCGAACAGAGTCCGCCGATTCGTCGCCGGCGGAAAGCCGCGACCGTAATCAATCAGTAAGTTACCAGTGCACCAGCCCTGCCCATGCGTGCAAAGACGCTATCGATGAGGTAACTGCGATCTAGCCAGGAGCTTCTTACGAGCGATTCTAAGGACCTACAGGCTAGTAACCCACCCAGAAGCCTGAAGAAGTCATCCATGCTATGTTGGCAACTGTCTGAATCTCTTCGTTGTCTATTCCAGCAACGCGCCCGTCGAGGATGCTCGGGATGTAGCGATGGATTAAAGCGAGCTTGTGGCTGTGGCCGATGTTACTGTTGCTCTCATGCGGCACTCGACGACTTCATGCAGCAGCGGTTGTCGACTTGGGAGCCGTTACTCACTCCAAGACGTATTTTATTTGCGCTTTTCGGCGTGGGTTTGCTTTTTGTGGTTGTGGGGCTCGTTATACTCCTTGTGAACAGCGCCATCGTCGAGTGTAGAGTGGACTACACGAATATGACGGGCGATCTAGAGCTCAAGGTATTCTCTATGCACATTCCCCGCCAAACCGACTCGACTCCTATGTTCCCTACTGAGGCATTTTAGAAGTGCAGACAGAAGCGTGCATTGTATTCTCCGACTCCGGAGTCTGCCTGTGGCGCTGCGCTTTTTGCAGATAGACGCTTCGACATGCACAGACACTTCAATCACGGAGATTACAGGAGACGTGCTGCTCTACTACGAACTGTCCAATTACTTTCAGAACCACCGGCACTTCATGAAGTCCCGGTCTGACAAGCAGTTGGGAGTGAGTGTGTGTGTCCGTGGCCGGCGTGCGTCCTCCTGCAGCAAGCGGCCGACGCAGGCCATGTTTTGGAGCCATTTTTCGCGAGCAGCGCGGCTGAAAGCCAGAGTGCAGGCTCTCTGTTTCTGGCTTGTCCAGCGGCAGCAAGAGCCGCTAGGCACTGCCGGAAGAGGCCCGTTTGGCGGAGTTTTCGAGACTTCTGAGTGCGTTTTGCGCGACGCAGGGCAAGGTCTTCACCGCAGCTTCGGAAGTGAGCTCCGCGTGCGACCCGCGGGTGGAGGCGGCGGACGGCCGCGTGCTGCACCCCTGCGGACTCAGCGCTGCAGCAGTTTTCACTGACGAGTTCTCCGCCGTCGGCGAAGACAAGACTACGGAGATAGAGCTGGACGAGTCGCGCGAGGCCATTTGCTGGAACTTCGACCTTTCGAGTTTCAAAAATCCGGCGGAGACGGAAATGCAAAGCGCCGCCTCGCAGGTCAAGTTTTGGCTCTACGACCAGCACTACGTCGACGCGCTGCATATGGAGAAGGCCGGTGGGTCCGGAGGCCCGCAGCAGCAGCTGCAGCAGCAGCAGCAGCAGCAGCAGCAAGTAGCCCGCAGTGCATGCAGCGGGCGTTTTGGCTGCGGTGTGGCAGGCGTGGGCTGGGGCGTGGAGAACTCGCACTTCATCGTTTGGATGAAAGACGCGCCGCTGCCGGTCTTCCGCAAGGCCTACGCGCGCTTCGTACAGCAGCCGCTGAAGCTGCCCTTTTACTTGAAGGTCACCAACAACTCCTACGACGTCAAGTCCTTCGGGGGTGAGTGCGGCCTTGCACTTGAACTTAACTCTTAAGAAAAGTTCTCTTAGTTGGGCTAATAGAACTTTTCTGCGAAAGCCTGTGCATGCAAACACTTCTTTGTCTTTTTTGGCCTGTGCATGCAAACACTTCTTTGTCTTTTTTGGCCTGTGCATGCAAACACTTCTTTGTCCTTTTTGGCCTGTGCATGCAAACACTTCTTTGTCCTTTTTGGCCTGTGCATGCAAACACTTGTTTGTCCTTTTTGGCCTGTGCATGCAAGCACTTGTTTGTCCTTTGGCGCTTCTGCACTCATCTGCTGCTGCGCTGCTACGCTGCTGCGCTGCTGCTCAGCAGCAAAAGCTGTGGAGACGCAGCCGTTTGCTGTTTGCTGGCTCCTCGTTTTCACGCCTGTCTTCCCGTTCAGGGAAAGTGCCCAAGTGCAGCTGCAGGCCTCGGCAGGCCCCGCGCAGTTGTGCGTTTCTGCCGGCTGGCGTTTGCCTCTGTGGCTTGAGTGCACACAGCTAGCGACGCGAGGTGTACAGACACTGCAGCAGCGCCTGGGTGCACATGCTCAGCGACGCGAGGTGTACAGACACTGCAGCAGCGCCTGAGTGCCCGTGGCTAGCGACGCGAGGTGTACAGACACTGCAGCAGCGCGTTCGCGGGAGTTGCAAGTTTGTGCATGCGGGGAAGCGCGTTAGTGCGTTTGGCTGCAGGGTCGAAGAGCGTGGTGGTGGGCCAGGCGACGTGGCTGGGGGGCCGGACTTCGTTTTTGGGGATTGCGTACTTGGTGGTGGGCAGCGTTTGTCTGTTGTTTTTCGGAGTTTTGTTTTACTACCACCGGCGCAACCCGCGGCACTTGGGCGACGTCTCGTGGCTGCGCAGGGCCCTCTACGCGTAGCCCTGGGTCGGGGCTGGGGGGCCCCTCGCTGCGCGTTTGGAGTGCGCGAGGGCCCCAGGCGCAGCAGGCTGCAGCAGCGGGAGCCGCAGAGGCAGCAGCAGCAGCAGCGCCGGCGGGCCCATTTGCTTCTTCAGGGGCCCCCGCGCTGCTGCTGCTGCTGCTGCCCCGAGCTGCATGCGCTGCCGGCAGGCCGCCCGCGCGCCGCTCGCGGGCGCGATATGGATTTTGCTGCTTTAAGGCTTCAGAGCTCCAGGCCCAGCCCCAGAGGGGCAGCAGTTTAGAATAGCAGTGCAGCTTTAGAGGCAGAGTGCTCTCTAGGGGCCTCAGGCAGGGGCGGCGAGCCGCGCAGCAGCTGCGGCCGCAGCGGACTTGGCCGCGCTAGCGAGTCGAAGACCCCTTGGGCTGAAACTCCCTCGCGCGGTCTTCCATTTCGTCTATCCAAGAGGCCAGCTGGCTGTAGCCAACCAGCTCGCCGCGGGCGCCGTGAGATATGGCGGCGAGCAGCTGCTTGATTTCCTCTTCCGAGGCTGCGGGCCGCAGGCCCTCGAGGTTCTCCAAGAAGTCGTTCTGCAGTTTCGAAATAAGTGTTTGTGAACACTGACTTTCAAAGGCGGGCTGCGGCGCGCGGATACACTGCAGCGCAGCTGCAGTGCAGCCAGCTGTCTCACCATTGTCACGTAGCCGTCAGCGTCGTCATCCAAAAAGTCAAAGAGATCCTGCGAATTTTGGCCAGCAAAATGGTCTCAGGAGATCAGAAATAACAAAAAGATCGCTCCTACTCGTTTTTGCGTTTCCTGGAGGTGCGGAGGCAGCGAGGCTCTCGTCTCGTCCTCCAGCAAGTGCATGATCATCTGTTGCGCGCGTTGGTTGGGCCGCTGAAGTGAATGTTTTGAACTCAGAATTGAACAGCTCACTGCAGTAAATGCGGGGTAAGTGAGTGTCCGCGAGGCGTCGAAGGCCTCCACCCAGCCTTCTGAAGTTGGAAGTTGAAAAGTTGCTGCTGCTTGGAGGTTCGGGAAGCGCGAGTTCACCTGCTTTCGCCTTGCAGTCGGGGACCCTCTCTTCGAGCGCGAAGGCGTCGATCATTTTGAAAATGTTTTCGAGAGAAATTGTGGGTTCGACGTCGATTTTGGCGAAGGCGTGGAAGACGTCCTGGTAGCCCTTCTGCACTTCGAAAGGGAGGCTGCTGTAGAGCTGGCTGGCCTCCTCGATCTCGCCCACTGCGCGGCCGGGGTGGGAAGCGAAGAAAGTGTCGGCCCTGAAGCGCAGAAACTGCAAAATCTGGTACTGGCGCTCGAGCTGCTGCAGCAGGACTCTGTGGGCGCTGGCCTGCACGGCCTGGCGGCTGGCGAGCGAGCCCACGTTGCTGAGCAGAGTGAAGTTCGCAGCAAGTGCGGGGAAGAGCCCCAGACTCAGCAGCAGAATCAGCAGCGGCGCGCAGCCGCTCCAGTAGCCCAGCACGGCGAACATGACGTGCTGGTAGTGCGGCGAGAGCAGCAGCTTCGCAGTGGCCGTCACGGCCACCACGTGCAGCGAAAGCGAAAGCTGAATGCAAGTCCGCAGCGCCGGGACTCCGCGCGGGCCCAAAATAAACAAAGACTCTTGCGAGTTCATCACTTTGGCGCCTCTGATGAAGCTGCAGAGAGCTCCGTTGCGGGAGATCGGCGGCAGCAGCTCGAGGGGCGCCTGCGGCAGCTGCGCGGCTTTCCGCGGCTGCGCCAGCGCCTGCAGGTACTCCCTGAGCTCGCCGCTGCTGGGCGTGTGGTAGTTCATGATGGTCTCCATTCTCCAAAAAAGAAACAAGTTGAGAAGCAGCAGCCCTCCTGCGGCGAAGACCAGAAACTCCGTCAGCGGCGTCGGGTCGAAGCCGAAGACCGGCCGCAGACACAGCAGCAGCGGCACGAACAGCAGCCACGTGGACACTGGAACTTCCACCATGTGCAGCAGCGCCTCGGAAAGCCGCTCCGACAAGAACTCCCCGAAGGCGAAGTCCCCCTCTTGGTGCGGCTCGAAGGGCGTCAGCGGATTCATGAATCGAAAGCGAAGGTACCAAAAGCGGAGTGCAGCGTCGGAGGGCTGTCCGCTCTCGACGAGCTGCTGAAACTCCAACACGCCCATCGCGTCGTACCTGCGAAATGCGGTGAAGTCGAAATGCGGTGAAGTCGAAATGCGGTGAAGTCCGCGCCGGCGCTGCGCCGTTGGTGCTGCTTACTGGCGCCACTCCTGCGCTGTCGAGAGCGAAACTGAGAGAAGAACCAACACGCTGACTGTAAACGTCACGAGCAAAAGAAAAACTATAATGTGGGCGCTTTCAAAGAGCTCGAAGACGACGGTGGGCGCCGCGTAGGGGTTCCCGCTTTCCTCTTTCAGTTCAGCAATGCCGATGCGCTCGAGGGAACTTTGGCCCAGCAGTTTGTCGTTTATTGCCATCGTCACTCCGAAACGCGTCAAAAAAAACAAAAGAAGAGAAATGAACCCGAGCACTGTCACCTCCTTCGTTATCGCCTCCACCACTTTCACCACATGGTGCAAACGCCGGTGTTCCAAATACTCCACAACTTCCTCATGCGCCACCTGAACAAACACTCATGCGTTCTTCGCCTTTCGCATTCACTTTGCGTGAAAACCCACTTCAAATAGCAACGTCAGGAACAAGATCACCACCAGGATGGCAATAGTTACGTTGGCGCGTGCAAAGGAGTGGTCGTGATCCTCTGCTGCAGCTGCAAGCTGACAGGCCCCACCTGAGGCTGTGCAAAGCATCTTTGCCGGCGGGGCAAACCCCAATGTGAAGGTTAAAAACGAAAACATGGCCTACATAGGAACGAATAGCGTTTGAACGTGCGCATCCAGCACTCCGCACTTTCCACAGAGCACGAAGAAGAAACACCAAGTGTCTCGACTCGCCAATAATTTTCCTAATTTCCCTGAAAGTCGGACTAAAGGCCGAAAGAAACCTTCGCTACAACTCCAAAGAGATACGGGAAGGCCAATGGAGCTCGCAGCTGCAAGTGGCAGCTTTCTGAATTTCTCAGCAGCAGTAGCGGGAAGGGCACAACGCGTGCAGATAGCCACGCTCTCTCCAGGCCTTCTTTGGCAGCATTTTGTCTCGAATTGTTTTCTCCTTCTCATTTTATAGAAGTTACGCCTTTTTCTGCCATGTGGGTGGAACCCGGTGCCTGCGCGACTTGGGTGCAGGACATACTCATGCCTGAAAGCTTGAAACTAAAGGGGCCGGCAAGCCAAGATATTCTTTATCTTGCTCCCTACTGGCAACAATTACTGTTATTCGCGGAGTATTCATTCCTGAATAAGTTGTAGTTGTACATTGCATTCATCACTACAGATGCGTCTACGAGTTTAATGCTGGGTACAGGGGTCCTTTCATACTCAGGCAGTAAACAAATTCAGTTTCCTCTTCGCTCTAAGCCTAAGTTGACCGACGAAAGAAAGAAGCATAAGAAATCCATCACCAGCCGATTTCACTTATAAATCAGGACACCTCGCACAAAAACAGGAGGAGTTCAAACGCTTGCAGAGAAACTTCTTTGTTGCTTTTCATTCAGTTTGCAATATTTTTTCCTGAAATTTTATTGTTACCTATACTGAGAGGGCTTTCTGGGGTGCCTACTTTGGCTGAACCAAACCAGTGGTACAGCTCTCTTAGGCAAGTTGCTGCCTCTTCTTGAACGTTTAAAGCCCCCATGCGTATGTTTTAGAGTTAACTAAAAGCAGTTTCATGTTGCTTGCCGCTATTATTTGTCCCTGTTCTAGGATGCTGAAACTCTACGGGTGAGATTGGGTGGACGATTCGTTTTGCAACGCCATGTTCTAAGGTGGCTTCTGCAAGTCTCAGGTCTTTTCGCCCCTATAAAGGCTCAATATAGTGCATGTTCATATATTAATTGGCAAAGAAACATATAAATGTGTCAGTTAATCATGTTTTTACGAGTATTTCATTTGTTGATGTTGCATTTGCTTCACGAGCGTGACCACTCCGTGACGCTTGTGATGCGATGTGAACTATGCAACCGCGTGGATTGATCAAAGAACCTCAACCAGAAAATACAAGAAACTAACAAGTATCTCATTTATGAATGCATGTACCAATTGTAATTAAACGACTTCAGATCAGCGAATAAGGTGTGCGCTGTTCATTAGTGGAATAGCTAGTTTCTGCGTTGCAGAGGGAACGATATTCCCCAAAAATGGCCAGAGGTATTTGCACTTTTATTCTCAACAGAGCTGGGAACTTCGCAGTCGATTCTGGCATTGTAAAGCCAATATTTTAGGGCCAGCAGCCGTGAAGTTCAATTCAATTCGTGGCTTTATATGGGGGCAATCTAAAACACTGGAGCAAGAAGATCAAGGGCAACACAGAAAAGCCTCCCACGCACGAAGAGTTAAGAGATTTACACGTATTTGTAGTGGTGCAAAATAGTGTAAGTCTTGCTCCCACGTGTGGGTGTGCACAGAGAAGCATACCCTTCTGTCTCCGACAAAAATCCGCAATTTAACAAGAAAGCTTTTGGATGAAGGCATTGGAAACGGCCAAAAGGTCATTTATTTGCAACATGTGCGCTGTGGAAAGCTTTTCACGGACGGGGTCAGATTCATGGCTGGAGTCAGCGGCGGAACTGGAACGATAGCAAAATAAGGTGCATTAAAATAGTGAAAATCAGCTTCGGAGAAATATATATTTTGCTACAATAACACACAGTTCAATATTTGCCGCAAATTGGTATTTAAAGCCACAGTAGAAGAGGAATGCAGAGAGTCACCGGCTCACAACGCAGCCAGGCAGAACGCATAGAGCTAGAGGGGTAGATAGCAAGCGCACTTTATATAAAGCTTAAGAGAAGTCACCAGAGGCAAAATAAATAACAAACGAACAGCAGCAGGATACTGAAATGCAGGATCGAGGGTGAAAGCAGTTTAGAGGTCTTCTTCAGCTGTTTCTGCTGTTGCAGAATCAGAAACTGGGGGAAGAGGAAGCAAAACTGAACAGGTTGCCTACTTTATATTATAAAACATACACAAGGGGGGAAATGCAACTATTTCTTTCTCGAATAAGCAATTCAATAGTGTACGTATGCAGTGCGCATGTGCAATCCCGTTTTGAGGTTTAGGGTCTACAATTCAGTTATTAAGATTTAGGGCTTAGGTTTTAGGACCTGACATCAGGGGCTTGGGGGCCTCAAGCCCAGCCCTTGAGCCTTAAAGTGACAGTTTTAGGCTGGCAATGTTAGCAACAATATTGCAGAAACAAAACAGCGCGAGAGAAAGAACCAATAAGCTCAATTTACATGAATTGGAAGGGAATGAACAGGTCTTCTCTCTCTGCTTCCAAACATCAAGACGCTCCGCCCCATGTTACCATCTTGCACTTGTTTAGCTGCACAGCAGACTTTATTTCTGGGCACTTGTGAAGCCCTCTTGTCCTCCATTTTACGCCTAACTCGTGCCTAAAGGCTTGGCAGCTGCTGAATGAAGAAAGACTTTGAGGAGGAGGCAAAACACAGAAGCAAGGCACTAGCCTCACCTTCTTGCATTTAATGACTTGCTGCTTTAAAACTGTACTGTTAGATCGTTCGTTTTCCCTGCATTTGGGCATTTGTGTGCAGCTGCATGCAGCAAAAAGGTGCGACGAGAATGGCCCGAGTTTAAAACCTGGAGTTCATCTGTTTGCTGCAACTAGAGCCTTTGAATACAAACACTTGAAGCGCTGGAGTGTGGCTTTGCTTTTCGGCAGTACCTTGCAGATCAAAACAGTTACTGTCTACGCACACACTCTTCTGGCTCTATCTGGCAGTTCTGGCCATGCCCTTGGCCTCCAGGCAAAGTATTCAAATGGAGCGCAGCTATTTCATCTTAGACTGCAGCGACAAAGCGGAACAAAACCACAGACTCGGAGGTGCAACTCGTTTGTAAACGCCTGAGTTCTGTCAACCTCGGAAACAGAACTTGCTGCTGCCTTGCCGGGAGACGCAAAAATGGGTTCTGATTTGGCGCACTCAAAGATAAAATAACGAACATTTGAACTTCAGGTTTTTACGCTCGGGTTTATTGTTCGCGAAGTGCTTTCACTACTTGCATTCGACCTCGGGGCCCTCCCAACGCGCTGTGTCGCCTAGGGCTCTCGCCCTATTACGCGTCAACCCCACTATTAATATTCAGTTGGCACGCATTGCAAACAAATTTCGTCAAGTTTAATGGAATAAACAGCCAGGCGAGCCGTCTTTACCAGCCCGGTGTGTGTGCAGTCAAAACCGGGTGAAGCGTCCTTGGCTTTCCGTCGATGCATGTTAACGTGAAGTGTCTTCTCTTGTCCTAGCCTCCCGAGTCCCACCCACAAAGGCGTTTCAATTCATTAAGCTATCTTTTGGATAGCATCTAAAGCTGCCGGGGCGTACACACGGCTGGCGGCCCGGCGATTCATCTTTCTTGCAGCGCATGGAGGCGCCGGACTGCTTGCTCTGTGTGCAGACACACACTCTGTTGTTTGCTGCGGCTCCGGAAAACTGCCTTCTGTTCCTTTTTCCGCATTTTCCGTTTTTTCCGGAAGTTTCAGTGATTTCTGGCTCGTAACTCGCCTGCGAGGGCCCCCGGCACAGCAGCATCGCCAGCTGGCTCCCGCAGACTCGCCGGCGCTGCACCATGGCGGACTCCACTGGAAGCCGCAGCGGAGCCCCTTCGCGGCTCCAGACGAAGGCCATGGAGGCTTCTTCGCTGCCAGCTCGCCGCGCTTCCCTCGCGCGCTTCGAGACATCGCCTGCAGACTCTTTCTTCGCCTCCGAGCCCCCCCCCCCCAACGTCGCCACTGCGGGCCTGCGAGTTCGCCAGTTTGTGCGGCCTCTGCACGAAGAGGAGGCGCTGAAGGAGGCGAAGGTGGCCATTGTCACGGCGGGCGGCACGGACGTCCCCTTGGAGGTGCGGCAGCTGCTCTTGCTGCTCTTTGCTGCTCTTTGCTGCTCTTTGCTGCTCTTTGCTTCCATTCTCCCTTTGCTTCTTTCTTTTTTTCAAGTTCCTGCCCCTCAGGCAGGCAGTTCTGCTGCTGGAGGCGTAGACCTGCTGCTGCTGCTGCTGCTGCTGCGGTGCTGCTGAGCAGCCGTCGCTCCTGTTTCCGGCGCCCGCGCCGGGCGCTCTCGCTTGCTGCTGCCGTTCCCGTGCTGCTGCAGCAGTTGCCACCGCCGCCGCAGTTGCCACTGCTGCTGCAGTTGCTGCTGCTGCTGCTGCAGTTGCTGCTGCTGCTGCTGCTGCTGCTGCTGCTGCGCGCACAGCGTGCGTTTGCAGTGCGTGTTCTGCGCAGCGCGAGGCCGTGCGGTACATCACCAACACCAGCTCTGGGGCGCGGGGGGCAGCCCTTTGCGAGCAGCTGCTGCGTTTGGGCTATTACGTAATTTTGGTGACTTCGGTGCGAGCCATAAAGCCCTTCGTGCGTCACCTGCTGCCGACTTACCCCATGCCCTCCATCCTCGACTTCATATCTCTCCGCGTGCAGCAGCAGCAGCAGCAGCAGCAGGGGGAGGCGGGCGAGGCGGGCGAGCAGCAGCAGCAGCAGCAGCGGGAGGAGGAGCCGCAGCAGCAGCAGCAGCAGCAGAAGCTGCCGCTGCAGCCAATCGTGGAGGAGCCCTCGGAGTCCGCGGGCTCTGAAGAGGAACTCGAAGCCCCTGCTGCTGCTGCCACTTCGCGAGGCCTGGCCTATCAAGTGTACGAAGTGGTGGAGCAGGAAGTCTCTGAGGGCGTGTCAGTGACTTCCGTGG